TACAAGAAAGTCGTTCTTTACCATGAGGCTGGTGGCACAATGGAATGAGTTGTCCACAGTGCTGCTGGATGCCCCATCCATGAAAACATTCAGGGCCAGGTTAGATGGGGCTCTGAGCAACCTGCTCTAGGTGAAGATGTCCCTGCTCACTGCTGAGTGCTTGGTCAAGATGACCTTTAAAGATCCCTCTCAACCTAAACCATCCTATGGTTCTATGTTTTGATCTTCACCAGAAAGCAGACATATGATACCAGTTTGATAGTTTAGTCTTTAAAGAGTCCGTGTTTCTTTGGGACTTGGCATATATTAGAAAGTCTGTATTGCCACAAAACAGAGGAACCTGATACCAAGTATTTTATGAACAGAAAGGAGAGATGTTTACACTCTGAATAAGAGTTAAGGCTGAGAAATGGGAAAAACCGATCAGTGCTACTCAGATGTGACCAGCTTTAGCATCAATACAATGACACGATAAGCATTGTCTTGCTTTTGTTGTTTTGTTAGCAAAAAATTTATTTGAAGGAGGACAAATACTAATTTTCCAACTTGGCTGGGGGTGAGGTCTTTCTGTGAGCAGCTTCAGCTGGTCCAGAGTTGTCCTGTTGCAGCGCTGGGTGTTCCCACCTGCTCGTTCTGGCTGGCACTGATGTGCCTGTGGCAGGGGAGTCAGCTGGGTCAGCTTGCTACTTTGTGAGCAGACAGGTTCTCCTGTAGGGTTAGTTTCACCAGAGGTGGAGATATGATCCAGCTGACCCTGCAGCTACCTGAGCATTAGTTGCTGTCAAAAGGGTGATCAGACTGTTTGGGTGGGTGAGGAGGAGGCACTTGAATTTTCAAAGATTGGCTTAAGCCAATTGTGAAACTTGACCATGATTGATTCTCTCTTAGTGACTATTTTTAGCAGGACAGTGTGCTTATCTTGGGTTTCTTTCAAATGTGTGAATGACATTAGTATGAATGACAAGAATGTGCCTGTGACTTCTGTGAGCAGTGTGTGAAGAGCACTTCTTGGATGAAGAATGAGCAAGGCTCTTCCATGAATGTTCTCTGTGCCTTGTAACTCTCCATTCATCCTGCTTGAGTTCGAAAAGGGAAAGTGCCAGATTCTGCACCTGAGGTGGGGCAACCCTGGATGTTCACACAGGCTGGGGAAAGAGATGCTGGAAAGCAGTGCTGGGAAAGGGACCTGGGGATCCTGGTCAATGACCACTCGGCCATGAATCAGCAGTGCCCTGGCAGCCAGGAGGGCCAACCGTGTCCAGGGGGGCATCAGGCAAAGCATCGCCAGCCAGTCGAGGGAGGGGATTGTCCTGCTTTGCTCTGCCCTGGGGCGGCCTCATCTGGAATATTGTGGCAGTTTTGGGCACTGCAATATGAGAAAGATATTAAGCTCTTACAGAGTGTCCAAAGGAGGGTAATGAAGATGGTAAAGGGCCTTGAGGGGACGCCGTATGAGGAGCGGCTGAGGGCCCTTGTTCTGTTCAGCCTGGAGAAGAGGAGACTGACGGGAGACCTCATTGCAGTTACAACTTCCTTGTGAGGAGAAGAGGAGGGACAGGCACTGATCTCTGTATCACTGGTGACCAGCTATAGAATGGTCTGAATGGTCTAAAGTTGTGTCGGGGGAGGTTTAGATTGGACATTAGAAAAATATTCTTCATCCAGAGGATGGTTGGGCACTGGATCAGGCTCTCTAGGGCAGTGGTCACAGCACCAAGGCTGACAGAGCTCAAGAAGCTCTCAGGCACATGAATGGGATTCTTGGGGTGCCCTGTTCAGGGCCAGGAATTGGACTCGATGATGCTCGTGGGTCCTTTCCAACTCTGCATATCCTGTGATTCTGTGTAATCATAAAAACAGGGTGGCACCCCTTATTTTTGTTCCAATTAACTTGTAGAATCAACTAAAAGATAGGATAGGGCTGCCTGTTCGTCTGCTGTTCTTTGTGCAGGGGCAGCAGCAGAAGACATGAGAGAATCTATGTGCTGCCTTGAAATGGCATTTCATAGCCCTCTTTTTTTAATCTTGCTGTTTGAAGTCAGTGCTTTCAGTTGAAGATACACAGGAAGGGAATTTATTTTTAATGAATTGTTAGCTTTCTGGGTGGTTTTTTGCCCCCCTAAATTATTGTCCCCAAAAGGCAAGTCAAAAAATGGAAATATGGAAAAACCATCAAACTATTCTGCTATCAGTATAAGAGACAGGTGGATTTTGCAGTTCAGGCTCTGGTCCTCTGATACTCTGTTCCCTGCCACTGCCTTTACTTTTGGCAAGCTGATTCATGAAGTTCCTTAGTCAATGAAGTGGGGCAGTCTCTTGATTAACTTGTTAATAAGCAGGTTGAGAAGAGGAAAGCCATGTAGTAATTGTAGGGGAGCCATTTGCCAAAGTGACTTCTCGCCACTTCTGCAAGCTGAAAGAAAAGTAAGCATGGAGCTATTAATCTCAAGGGGTGTGCAAAGTAGGGCCAGATCATGAAGATGCATGGCTCTGACAACTGCAGTACCTGGCCATGCCTGTCTACCCTGATCCTCGAGTGATAGCACTGTTGCAAGCTGTGCGTCTAAACTGCTTTAAAAAACACAAAGAGGGAAGATGGATTTCTCTCTGCCGTGTCATCCAGCCTGTTTCCTTGTTAGAACAAGGTTGTCCAGCAGAGAACACCATAGTGAATCTGATGTTTCTCCCAGATGAGGTGTGGTCCTTGGACTTCTGGCAGATGGCCAAAGCAATCCAGATTTGGGAAATCCTGGATGTTATTTGGCACGCTAATGTGCCAAACATTTAAAACATGCATATGTTTTACTAGGAGGAAGAACTGAATTTTGTGCAAAGCTTGAAATCAATAGACAAATATGCACAGTTCAGTGTTTGGAGGTTGATGGGGGTTTATTACATCCAGGAAAGACTTTGGGGGCTGGTTTTTAGTTTCTGTATAATGAGTAGCAGTGAAAAAAGTTCTTATACCTGCTTGAGATAACACAGAAAATTACTGCCGGTTATCAGGACTTTGTCAAGCCATCGTGTCCAGGCTGCTTTGGAGTTGTTTGCAGATGTACTTATTTCAAGACTAGCAAATATTTTGTATTTTATTTACTCTAGAGTCTTTAAAACTCTTGAAACAGTATTCAAATTTTCTGCACTCTTAACTGGGTGCCTCTCTTGTTTCTTAGCATTTCTGCCTTTATGGCTTTAGAAGTGTCTAACAACTGTTTGGATTCTCTTGGCTTCTTGTGCTGGATTTACAGGGAAGATTTCTAGGCAGGCAGTGGTGCAGCTTTCAAGTGTGAGCTTCTGGCTTCCTGTCCTGACCCAGGTGATGGAACAGTCTCCGCAGGTACAGACAGTGCTTGCTTGTTTTACTCTAGGAAGGTGGTGGTTGTTTTTAAACTACCCAGAGTTCCTTACCAAGTCCCTTATCAAGCTGGGGAGCAGTTACTGCTCAGACCTTTTACCAGCTGTCTCAGGCTGTGAACTGCATTGTGAGGCTTGAGAAAAGTGAGGAGTGCCTCCTTCCAACTCAGCTGCATCTCACCTGCTGTCATACCCCACTTCTGCATGCAAAGTAAAGAAGTAACCATGAAAATGCAGTCCCTGTAGGATCAGTCTGTGCAAGGCTGCTGCTGACAGCAGATCACTGTGAGTTGAAGGTGATGCACAGTTCTAGACACAACACACAAATAGCAATTAACAGATTTTAATCTTTGTCTGTCGAATGTGTTTAACATACCATACTTAATTAGGCTTTTATTTGACATTAATATTCTGCTAGTTCAGTACATTAAGTAATAAATATGATTCTAATTTTTTTTTTCTTATGCTTCTATTAAAGAATAGATCTACAGTCTGTAAGAGTTCACCAAAAGCAGCTTGTTATGTATTACTTACCTCTGAGAACCCCTGGATTTCTGTTCTGTCCTTTTAGAAATGCCTGACAATTGCAGAATGATTTCCTGGAGATGTTTATCTTTTAAACGGTATTGAGATTTTTTTTGTTGTTATTGTTGTCTTCGGTTCACTTCCAGAGGCTTTGAGACAACATTCTTTGGTTATAGAAGGAACAGACTTAAGGTGATGTGAAATTTAATTATAATCCTGGGCTGTGATTCTACATCACTTTCCTTAGTGCCAAGTCAGCTTCAGATCCACCATTTCCTTGCTTCACTTGTGTTCCCTCACAGTCTTTGTGTCCTCTGTTTGACTGTTGGTGCAGCTGCCCTCTGAACACCATCTGTGAAATGACCCAGCCCAAGAGCCTCCCAGACGAAAGTGCCCTTTGGCAGGCAATGTAAACCTTTGTTCTGGCTTAAACTGCAACCCCGTGGTTGTATATATTTGAACTGACATAGCTCTGGCTATAATGTCTGTTTGAAGACTTGTAAGGCTTTATAAAAAAGAGTTTTCTGACAAGGGGCCAGTGACATACTGCTCCAATTTCTAGACTTTTTACAGGATGAGTTATGTAGCTAGATACGTTTTTTTTCAGGTGTTTATGCTGGCAGAACTGTATTTAGTTACTATTTCCCATGTATCATCAGAAAACAAACTCCAGTTACATAGATTTATAAAGTGTCAGTCTGCCAAAGCTAATATTTCGCAGTAAATCTCTTCTCTGGGAGGCAGGAGACTTGTGCTGAGCTCTGTGGGACTTACCGGCTCTTTTGAGGTGGGTCTCTTTCTCACTGTGGCACAGAGAACCTGAAAAAAATACTCTTTTCTCATACTCAACAGGGAAAAAATTTATATTCAAGGGTTTTGTTAAATAGGAAGCCTCTCATGACAGATTTCTCTCATTGCTGTGAAAACCAAATGGGTTGATTGAAATAAAACCCACTGTCATTGTTAGTTTACTGGGTTTGAGAAGGAATTTGTGCCATAATGGAAGTATTTATATATTTCAACTAGAAAAGAATGTCAGTTCAAAATAAGGAGGATATTTGACCGTCTTGTTTTTCTTGTCTGTTCCATGACGACTTACTTGTCTGTTTTTTTTTCCCCAGTTATTTGTAGTAGATGTCCAGACTGGTCAAATTACCAAGATTCCTATTCTGAAGGATCGTGAACCGGGCATGGTGAACCAGCAGGGATGTGGCATTCATGCCATCGAGCTCAACCCCTCGAGGACCCTCCTGGCCACAGGTGGAGACAACCCCAACAGTCTTGCAATTTATCGCCTGCCTACACTCGATCCTGTCTGTGTGGGAGATGTAAGTGGGAGAACCTGGGGAAGGTTTATTCTGTCGCTTACAAGAACTACTACTTTGAAGTGTGTAAGGTCAGAGCAAGGTTAAGATTTGGGAGTCTTGTAATGGAGAGTGAATTGCTGAAAGCCTGAAAACATTCCCAGTTGAGTTGTCATTTTTGACGTGGTAGCCGAGTGAGTACATAAACATGTGAATGGATTCTCAGGATTCTGAGTCAGACTTCTTCCTCACCCTCATTCAGATCTATTTCAGATCACCTTTGAGCACTGAAAATGTGACAAAATCCTGAATGTTAAAGTCCAATTGTGGTGATGACTTCTCAAGCTACTAACAGTGAAAAAGCTCTTTTGGGAAATTTAAAAGGTGATGCAAGTTGTTCCGATTTTCCGCTTATCCAGTGCAGTTTACAGATGTATTATTCCAGAGGTGAAACTTGGCTTTGAAGGTTAGTTCTGACCCAGTGGCTGCTGGCAGTTAGATAGACTCTCATACTGGTTTTATTTCTGAAATGTCCTGAGGCCTTTTTAAAACATCCAGTCTTTTAAAAAAATCTGAAATTAGTATAGTGGTGTCCCATGAGTGCTTCTCTCTCATTTCTCCTTTTTATTCAGGACTTCATATGGGCGTTAGCTACAACAACAGAGGTCGGGTCAGAGTTCTGCAGCAGCAGATAACCAGCTACAGCAAGACCTGACTCTGAAGATTTGCATGACTTGCTCTTCATTTACGTGACCTTTTATCTTTTCAAACAGAACTAGAGCCTTATGGTCTTTTTTCCCCACACACACAGGTTTTTCATTTCCTAAAGAAGAGATTCTTGAAATAATAGGCTTGAAATATTAATCTGTAGGTCATGTATCATAAACACAAGATTTTGGTTACTTTTTATATTAGGATGTGCACTTGCAGAAGTACAGAATGCTGCTTTCAAAATGGAAAATCGGAGTCCTTAGAACTGGGGTCAATTTATCCTTGGTCAAAGGCCTGTTTTTCCAACACCTAATTTCTCTCCATTAGTTATACAGTTCAAAACCCAAAAAGTGAAAGTTACTAATGGGTACTTAAACTGCTCCAGCTTGATACTGGAACCTTTTTTCAGTGTAGGTCTGTCCTTCTGAGTTTGTACTAAAAATCCAAGTGGAGAGCATTTGTCTGCTTTGAGACTACTCTGGAGTATTATGGCACAGAAAAATCTGTCTTTCTTCTTTTAGGATGGACATAAGGATTGGATATTTTCAATTGCATGGATCAGTGATACTATGGCTGTTTCTGGTAAAGTCAAACTTTTTCTTCTGTTTTTCTGGTTGGTTGGTGGGGGTTTTGCCTTTCCTTTTTTGTTTTAAACTTTCCTCCTCTCCAGAATTTTATGCTGAATTACAACATTTTATGAGTCTTCAGAAAGCACCTCTATCACGGCAGTTGAAACCACTTAGAACTACTGAGGCTATTTAAACACTTGATCTAGATCTTTGATTTTTTTAGTATCAGAGAGAATATTCCTGTGTTTCTAGTAGGTGTTGCCATGAGGAGATCTTTAAACACAATGAGTTACAGTAAATGGTTCCACATAAGAGGAATAATTTCAAGAGGAGTTTTAATTATCATTTGATAACTTTGGAATACTGCAGAGCAACATCAGTTTCCTGAAGTCGTGTGAAAGACTAATTAAACTCTCTTTTGTCAAGCTGTCAGTACAGTTGTGTGTGTGTATATATGTGTATGTACATGTGCACTTACACTAAGGCAATTATTCCAGAAGGCTGTAATAGAAAAACTCAGTTACTGACTGTTTAGTAACTAATTGGATAATCAGTGTAACTTCATAAAGTTAGATAAAGGCAGCAGTAATAATAGGCTGTTGCATTAATTTAGTAGTTCACTGCCTTTCTGTGCTGACAGGGTGTAGTAGTGTTCTGCACACAGAGTTGTTGAACTGCAGGTGACAGAAGATCATAGCAGTCTTATATAAAAGTCAAGTCCTTGAATTGTTAGTGTAGTTCAGTGGAAGTTTTGTTTTCCAAAATCAAAAAGTTAATCCTGGAATTTGATTTTTTAATTTAACATGAAAGTTGATCCTTGCAAGTCTCTGCCCCAAATATCTACATAAAAACCCCTGCACTATCAGCTAGAGGATGATTACTGATATCCAAGGGAAGGATAAGGATCCAGTGGAATGCACAGCTCCCAATGTTTTGCAAAGGTCAGGGGTGGATGTGTGAGTAGAAGGCTGCTGTGTTCTCTGCTCTGTGGTCCTTACAGCAGGCAAGATGTAGCTTCCAGTCTCCAGACCTGAGACACCAGGGAAAACTTGTTGAAAGCAATTAAGCAAGACTGGTTGCTAAACTGATCTCTTCAGAGCTCACAGACAATCCTAATTAAGAGATAAAAAAGACAGTGAACTTCTGACATGGTTTTAATCTTATAGATTTCAACTCCATCTGTATCTGAAAGTGCAGAGTAGAAATACTTGAACTTCAGACATCCAGGATACGGCAAATACTTTTATCTGATTTAAAAAACTAGATGCAAATTTTTTGTTACTTTCTTGAGGCAAGTTAAGTGCCCCAGGAAGAAAAAAGTCCTTTGGTCCCATGGCAGATCACACCCATCTGGTTAAGAGATTGGGCAACGCCTTTCTCACTGCAGTCAAAGCTGTTGAAAGAGGACTAGGGGCTTATTATTCCTTGTGCTTGTTTTAACTTCAACAAGAACGAGGCAGGACTCTAAAACCTTCTGCAGTGTATTTCAGTAGTCCCTAAGTCTAGTCTGTAAGTCAAACTCTTGACTAAGCAGCCAAAGCTGAGGAAGAATACAACAGTCCACTCAGCTGTGCTGGCTGGGCAAAAAGATTTCCATGGCAAAAGCTCTGGATGAGATGAGTAATCCCCAGGATGTCATGAGCTTAGGGAAGCAAATGATACTCTGCTTGGCTTCAGGGCTAACCAGTTGAACAACATACATGGGCCTTTTCCCCTGCCAGGGGAAACTGACAGGGCTATTAACAGGGACAGCTTCTTCCTAAGGTACATCAAGACCTTCAGAAATTCTACTGCCGAGTATTCAGCCTCCATAACAAACAAGATTAGCTGCCATTAAAACCAATGGCATATAATGGAGTGGCAAGATGTTGTGTCACCTGCTGCCTGCTGCATTAGGATGCTCCTTTTGTATTTGTCTGTAGTAGGTGATAGTGCCAAATACCCGAATCCATCCATGAGGGAGCAAAGCCACTTCTCCTGTGCCAAACAACCCATATTGCAACAGTGTTCTGCTTAAGAGACAGTAAATTTAATAGTCTGGTGTAAATACTTAGTCTTTTCTGACATCTTAATTATGAATTCTGTTTGACAGAAGGAGGCATATATTTTTCACATTATGTAGAGAAGAAATTGAGGTACCTGTCAAATCTGTCAGATCTGACTTATATGAAAGTGAGTTGCCTGAACACCAGAAGTGATGGGTATAAGGCCTTGGATGAAGACTGTGTTGATCTGTAAACCAAAGACATTCAGCTTTCTTCATCCAGTATTATTACTGTTAGCGATTCATGTTTTGGATTAATGTCATCAAATTCGGTAAGAAAAAAGTAAAATGAGTTCTTGCTTGTTTAACCTCAGTTCCTATGTTACATTCTTTTAAGAAGTGGCCCATTTTAGCGAAATAATTTTTTAAATAGATTTCATTCAAAGTGGTACAAACTGTGCTCTGAAATAGCTGTTTCTGTTCAGCTCACGAATGACTGTGTGCTTATCCATAAGCATACAGATAGAAATCAAATGAACCCAAATAGGCATAAATCCAACTGAGTTTTGGAGGTTTTTTTTGCATTGGTTTAACAAGCTGTCATCTCAGCCTTGGTAAGCCAGGCTCAGGCTGAACCCAAAGGCTATTCAGTCACTTCTGAGTCAAGTCGTTCTGTGTGCGAATCTCTAATGGTGATTCTTGTACAGGGTTGTGGTTTTTGATGCATCCTAATCAGTTTGAAAACAGATGAGGTGATCCAGCTGCTTGGAAACTCTGTAGACAAACAGCTGATAATGAGTTCAAACATTATGAACTTCAGAGCTCAGTAAAATCACATTTTTGTTAATTAATACGTGGGCACCAACAGTGTGTTCAGTTAGATTAAATTAATAGTATCCTTTCTTTCAGACCCTACTGTTTCTTCCTTTTTAAAGAGGGGAGTTACATGTATGTGAAATGGACTGTTTATTTATGGACTATTTGATCAGGTTCCCGGGATGGTTCAATGGGTCTCTGGGAAGTCACAGAGGATGTGTTGTCCAAAAGTGATGCTAGGCATAACCTCTCTCAAGTTCCTGTCTATGCCCACATAACACACAGCGCTCTGAAGGACATCCCCAAGGAGAACACCAACCCTGACAACTGCAAAGTCCGAGCATTGGCCTTCAACAATAAGAACAAGGTGAGTAAGATGAGTAAGGCAGTTGAGAAGTCCCAAAACTGTCCCTATGTATTAGAAAAAGAACAAAATAATCTAAACTGAACATACTGGAGAAGCAAGCTAATATTTTTTTTCTCTGATTCTTTTGCGTCCTTGTCTTCACTTGCTGTGTTTGCTTCTGCCCAAGTGAATGGGAGAATCCAGGAGAAAAAAAAAAAAAAGAGATGTTTTCAGAAGGCACAGTTTTCCTGTGGGTTTGATTTTAGACTTGCATCCTAAGCAGGGGAGACAAGGAGTATTTGCAAGAAGCAAATAAAACACCAAAACATCTCTTGCAGCTTGAATCCTCAATTCTTGAATGCTCTTGCTACTTTCCTTCCCCCTTTGCGAAGACCAGCTTACTCTTAGCAGTTCCTGTTTTGATGCTTGAATCCTTTCTGGATTGCTCAGCAGGTGAGGTGCCTGACTCACAGGGCAGGCACCAGTGCTTGCTTTGGTGTCATTTTGTTGGTATTTGGCCAATGCTAAATGCTAACCTCCCCCATGCTGATCTCCCGTTATTACTAATGGGAGTAGCAGTTCATCCTCCATTACTTTTGTTTTTCCTGCCCTCAAAGAACAGAGAAGGTCTGAAGCAAAGGTGGTGTGCTCTCAGAAGCACAGTGCTCCTGTAGGCTGTATTTTTCACAATAGCTACTTTAGTTAGTTACTACTCTAGGATGGACATTTCATGTAGCTTTTTCAGTATAGTGCCTATAGTGCTTCAGGGTTAGAATCAATGTGGGACCTGCTGAAGGGACATGTCAACTCTAGCTTGTACTGTCTAATAATTCACTATTTAATTGCCTAACAACATTTATGGTTTCAAAAGTTATTATTTCTTATTTACTCTTTTATTAACTGTTGTTCTACCTGCCATCTTTGTACCGTATTGTATTCTATGAAGAACACTGTAAAAAGAAAATGTATCCTGATAAAGCCTGTACAGGATTGTGGATGAGTTCAATCCAGAGTGTGCCACTTGCCTAGTTTAGAGTGAGTTTGTAAGGACATCTATAATACAGAAACTAACTCTTTTTTTTTTTTTTTATTTCTCCTTTTAATAGGAGCTGGGAGCAGTGTCCCTGGATGGGTATTTTCATCTTTGGAAGGCAGAGCTCACACTATCAAAGGTGCTTTTCTGTTTGTTCAGATAAGGCACCCCATTGCTTTCAGTTTTTCTTTGGGTCAGGTTATATTTTTGCAGTCAACTTATTTTTCAGCTGCATTTTGGGTTTTTTTCACTGCAACTTCCTTGAACATACCTTACAGAACTGTTCTATTAACATCCTACTCTTGTAAAGGATTGATTTTTATGTTTTCTCTTTCCAGTTACTTTCCACAAAGTTGCCATACTGCAGGGAGAACGTGTGTTTGGCTTATGGTCAGGAGTGGTCAGTGTATGCAGTAGGATCACAGGCACACGTCTCCTTCCTGGACCCAAGGCAGCCTTCCCACAATGTTAAATCCGTCTGTTCCAAAGAACGAGGCAGTGGTAAGAAACCTGTCAAAAGGTGCTTCAAATGATTTTCTTGCAGAAGTAGCTGTTAAGACTGCAGTAAGTCAAGCTTTTAATTAACAGGAAGGGTTTTTCCTGTGATAGACTAAATAATTAATAGTGTGTATATATAGGTTTTGCTTTTATGACAGCATTCCGTGAGCAACCAACACCAAATGTGACAGCAGCTCTGAAATCTAGTGAAGGGCAATATCAGTGCCTTTATGATCAACTAAATTGTAACCCATTCGAATATTACTGGACTTTTAAAAGTGTGCATTTTACTTCAGCATATTTTTTACTGTGTCTTATTCTATTTTAATTCCTCTCGGACCAAATCTAGTCGTTTTGCCACTCTTTATACTGTTCTTGCATTTTTCTCTGGGAATTAGGAAAGAAGGCATGTTGTCTGCTCTCTGCTATCATACTGGGAGTCTGTGCTTGCTTTGTAATTTTAAAGCCATGAGTGAGACTCCTGATTTTCAGTGTGATTTGACTGCTGTTTCCTTTTCTCACATGAATGCAATATGTGCAATTGAACCTCTCACCAGGCCGGGCCTGAGGGCTTGCAGGGTCCATGGTTCCATAAACTTCTTACTTACCCTTTATTATCAGGCATGAGAAGGCCCTGTGCCATATTAACCCCAGACTAATAAATTGCAGTCCTTATTTAGCTTGGCTTTGGGCATCCATCTCTTCATCGGGCAAGTTACCAGAAGAGGATGTATGTAGGCAAGGATTTAGGAAAACTTTATTTATGTAGTTACAGAACAATCTTGTCTAGATCAATGTCAGGGTCTGCTTCTTTCATGTACGGGAGAAGTATCTGTTGTGTCAGGGAAGGTCACCTCAACATCTTACCAGCAACACGCCTTGTCCTGACTTGCTCCAATGGTGGCTGAAAGATTCTGCCTCGAGTATGTGACCATCCCTGCTGGGGGGATAATCTGTGTGTGGGGAGTATCTGCAGGGCATCTCCATTTCACATCTGGTGAAAGCCTTTGTTTAGTGCTGTTTTCTGTGCTGCATAGTAGCTGGATCTTTTTATTTGGCTTGGTGATGGAGGCACGTAAATAACAGTAATTCCCAAGATACTGAGTGTTTCAACTTTCTGTTGATCTCCCTGGGGCTTGGAATGGTGCAGCACCTCTAGAAAGCAGGCTCCTTATTGATTTGTGGAATAAAATCTGACTTCAAGTGCTTTGAAGTAGTAGCTGAATGTGCTTTAAGTTTCCAAGTGCACCTGGTGAATGTGGTAAGTCCATTCAGTTCACTCGTGTTGTACACAAAAGCAGGTCAGAGAAAGGTTGTGGCTTAGCAAGACTGGAACTGGGGCTGATTTTCCCCCGGTTGAACCCTGTCTGCTCTACATGAGAAGGCAGTGAATGCTTTTTAATGCATCTTATAAGTGTTGCTTTTCTTAGAGCTGTACAGGGAAGTGCAGGCCCTGGACTGTAGGTCTTGATCCACAAAAGCAGCTGCTCTCTGTTCACGTGGCAGAGCAGTGTCGTGTGCCCTTGACTTGGTGTCCTGCAGGCAGCAGTGCTAATGCAGCACAGACTCTGTGTCTGCTCCCTGTGTAGGACACACCACTGCATCTGCATTTCCTTCTGGGATCTGCCACTTAGGAGTGGCGCTCAATTTGCTGTCCAGGTCCACAGGTGGTAGGTAGAGTGCTGGGAATGTAGGATAGCTTACTGTGATCAGTTCTAGGCACAGGTTGTGCTTTTAGTTTGATAGGAATGGTTAATCTGGGGTACTTCAGCCCTTTAGGAGCCAGTTTGAAGAGCTGTTTTTGAAAGCCTGTTCTAAATATCCTGTTAGTAGTGTGGGTGCATCACTTAATTTTTTTTGGTTAGAGAGATATCCACAGATATTCTTCATTTTATAGCTTTTTATTAACAAATTCCATTGAAAAGCGTATGCCATCTGCCTTCATACTCCATCACCTGTTTCTGTGAAGTAAGTATTCTTCTGAATTGCTTGTCAAGAGCACTTCTGGAGCAAAAACAAGAGGAGGTCCACTCTTGTGCCTTTCTCCTCTTAGATAAGTGACTGCTTTTGCTGATTGCAGAGGGCTTGAAGTGTGTGTGCCAGAGCTAGGCCCATGTGCTGGGGGTGGGGGGAGTAAGTCTGCAGCTTGCTCAGGTGCGTTTGTAATTGTGAGTTAAAGTGGAGATTCTTACATGAATCTGGTAAATTTCCTTCAGCAGGTGTGACTTGCACAGTGGTTTCCCACCTATTAAACCTGCAGTCAAGACTTCACCTCACATCTGGAGCAGGGCAGTGTGGCCTTACCTGTTCCAAGTGTGTGTCATGGATGCTGGTGGCTGTGGATATAACATCAGGCTGGGGAGGCAGAAGGATGAGGATGCGTTTCTAGTTAGGACTCTCTGCAGAGGGGAAAGGGGAGCTCCCTGACTGTACCTGCAGCTCCCAGGTGTTGTCTGTCCCATGTGCGTACTGGTGTATTCCAGGACGTTAGAAGTTCAGCCCCACTTGGTACAGTAACAGCATTTGGCACGTGGATGTAGCTGGCAGAACTCACTCTTTTCCCCTCCTGTTTGTATGCTTGTTTAGGCTGTAATTCAGTGGTACTTCAAAGAGGGCTTAAAAAGGCCTAGGTTTTATAACCTGGCATTACGCTGTGCAGGAAGGAGGATCACAGATTTGGTGGAGTTTAATCTGCACTGAAGAGTTGTTTGGAGTAGAGTGCTTGCACAGAACAAACCTTTTGCACAATAAATAGAGAATTTGCAAATTGCAGATTCCTACATACAGAACAAAGGTGCTCTTGACCCTAAATGGCTTATCTGGCAGAGCTGGGCCCTGTTGAAGATGAGGCTTCTTACTGTGCCCCCGCGGTGTAGCCGATGGCCTCAGAGGAGCAGGGCATTAGTGTGTGTCATCGAAGCTGCTGTTTCAGCAGCATCAGTGGGATCTGTCTGCACTGCTCTGTAGCAGTTGTGGAGAACACTAGAAGGTAGTGTTAGACATGAAATAACAGCCCTGCAGAGACAAAGCATCCCTCTTCCTTACTGCTCTGTCTATCCCTTCTCTGCTTGACAGGTATCCGGTCAGTGAGCTTCTATGAGCACATCATCACCGTGGGAACAGGGCAAGGTTCCCTGTTGTTCTACGATATCAGAGCCCAGAGGTTCCTGGATGAAAAGCCCCCCCATGCCTGCTATGGCCCAAAGCAAAAATTAGGAGGAGGTGAAATTTTGAAGCTGACAACTGGGAAAGGCTGGCTGGTGAGTAGGTTGTAACTGTAGGAGACCCTTTACACAGGAATACTGTAGGGCTTGAGCTGGTTCTTCTTGTGGTAATGGGAGCTGTTGTGTGAAATGTGCCCCAGTCAAACAGGGATCATGTACTGACAACTAACAGTGAGAAGCAAGAAGTGCTGCAGAATTGCTTTCTACAAAAGCTTTAGAAAGGGTACCGAAGGTTAGCTGCCCGAGTGTGAGGCATACTGACTACTGTTCTTATGCACTGATTCATAGGTGAACTAGATTGTATATTTTTATATTTTCAAATGTAATCTAACTCCTAGTTTTCCGAAACTCAAACAGAAATAGTATTCCTTTAGAGCCATGCTACTCTAATGTGATACTCAGAGCAAGAGAGATTTAATTTAATTGTGTGCAGTTTTAGAAATTGTGGCTTCCTGAGGTAATGCTATGGCAGGCACTTGTGTTCAGTTTCCTGTATGTTATCATAAACAAGTTAATGGCTTTGTTTAACTTAGCTCCATTACCATTTATATCACTGTGATGTCCCTACCCTTCACCTCCCCGTTCCAATGTTTGGCCTAAATGTCCACAGAAAAAGCTTCAGAGCTGATATCTTTTAGTTGATCTGTATGAAGTTTCAGGAGCATTCAGAGGAAACAACTCTTTTTAAGCTCTGGAAGATACTTTCTGCTTTTGTGAAACAGGGTTTTGGGTTTGGTTGGCAACAATAATGATCTAAACTTTCCTTTAACAGAACCATGATGAAACCTGGAGGAATTATTTTTCTGATATAAATTACTTCCCAAATGCTGTTTACACCCACTGCTACGACTCGTCTGGAACGAAACTCTTTGTGGCAGGAGGCCCCCTTCCATCAGGACTTCATGGGAATTACGCTGGTCTCTGGAGCTAATGATAACTCTTCATAAATGCTGATCTTTACACAGATTTCCACTTTTCTTTTCCTTTTTTAACAACAAAATTGTGTGATGCCATTGATTCCTGATTTAAGCGCAAGTTATTTTTTGGCAGAGTTTTCTGTTGGTCTCCAACAGTTTTTGTACATCTTTTTGAACCAGTTTTTTCCTTTAACCTCCTTGATCCTTTATATGAAGGGGTTTTGAAATCCTTTTTTATTGTATTTACTCCAAATGACTCTTTCCCCCCCCATTTAGGCTGTCTTGGCCATGTGCCCCCTCCCCTACTTTGCTGTGAGGTGGGATTCCTTTCTTATAGAGTGGTTGCTCCTGGGCTTTCTGTGAAAGTCTTGGGGCTGCATGTGTGCAGGTACTTTGTGTCAGTTACATTACCTGGAGTGAGGACTACTTGTAATTAAAAAATATTAAAAGTATTTATAAGAGATAAGCTACTACTTTATCTGCAGAGCCTGGCCCTGGCCTGGGTTGATCTTATTTTTAAAAGTACAAGTCTAATGACACTGTTTTTACATAGAGGGATTATGGTTATTTTAGGCTCTGCTCACTGGAGCCCAGGCACAGATTCCCCCAGGGTATTGCCCATCAAGTCCAAAGTGCAGGAGTTCTAAAAATTGCATTTGTATTTGAATGGTAGTTTTCAGCAGTGCCAGGAGTAAAAATTGATCTTTTGTTTCTTCACTGCCCATCCCAGGTACCAACTTTTGCACAGGTGGAGTTTGCAAAGGCTGTTCTGCAGCATGGCTGTTGCAGGGTGACATTACATTGAGGGCTGCAGAGGTGCTGAGGGGAAATGGGGGCTGGTTATTCAAAATGAACTAAATCTTATCTGTTTTCCAGATGAACCATGGTTTCTGAGTATGCTGTCGGGGTAGCTCATGAGATTTTCCTAAACTGCCTAAAACCCAGGACCTTTTTTATGCTGGGTTCTGGAAATTTTTCCCATTTTTGCTGTTCTGGTTGGCCATCTCCTCTAATAAGCCAATGGAATAAATAAACTATTTTTTTTTCTACGAGATTAAAGAGTGCATCTTGGACTTAACTAATGCAAGTGAGAAGCTTTCCATATAGGAGGATAGCTCGGTGTCAGCTCACGTTGTGCCACATATGCTGTAGGAGAGACTCAGACTTTCCCCCAATCCCCTGATGCCTTCTGCTTCCAGGCTCCTGTGAACTTCACCTGGGACTGGGAGGGGAGAACAGGTGCAGTGTCCTTCAGGTGCAGCTATGAAGCATGTGCATCCCAGGGTGGTGGTCTTACTCCATACCCAGCTAAAATGCAGGTCTCCAGTGCTCCTCCTTTTGGCAGGCACCAAACTCTCAGCTTGTTGCTGATGCCTCTCTCTTCTGCTGGGATGAATGCCTTTCCCCTGACACTAGTGGAACAAAGTGTGCCTGGACCTCACTGCTTTGGTGACAAAGACGGAGTTGGTTGAAGCTGAGGAAGAAGACAAGGCTGGGACACGCTCTGCTCTCCTGTCTCTGTGGAGATCACAGCTACTGCTGCAGTTCCTGCTGACAGCCCAGAGCGAGTCTGTACCTGCCTTTGCAGTCCCTCTTGTCTTCATACTCAGTGTCTTCTTCAATAATTCCAAGCAGTGAGCCTCAGGCTTAATTTCCAGTTGGCAAGGAGACCTGCATGGAAATCCTCCAAAGAATGCAGTTCCCTCCTGTCCGAGTGGAAATTCTGGCAAGAGAAGAGCTCTCTCCCAGATGTGCACCTGTCCCAGAAGTATAATTTGCACTGACACAGGTGCTTCACAAACACATCATCTTCCAGTGTTTTATAATTGTACTTCCCTTGTGGGCTGCTTAAACTGCAGCAGTCCACGATGCTGTGTGTACAGCTAGCCAGGCTTTTCTCTGAAAAGGGCAAATTTTATACCATGGGGTAGTGGAGAGTTAGGGTTGCACATTTTATTTAGAGTTGTTCATCGTTTCATTTTAAAGCTGTCATAATGGTGCCTGTGTTGTTCTTTGACGGCAACTTACTGCTTTGGATATTTTTTGATTTAGAAAAGTGGAAGTATACAAAGAAAAACAAGTCTTGGTCAAGTATGGCAGGGTTTGTATTTCTTGGATTACTCCTGCAGCTACTGTGTAAGATCACTCTTACAGGGCACATGTTCTGCTTTTTTTATTCGAGCTTGGTTTGAAGTTTGTTTTGTTTTTCTGAAGAAGCTAGACAGTTGACTCTACTTGAGCATCCTCCAGAAAACAACAGCAGATAATAGATAGGCACTTTGTGTCTACAGTGCCAAAGGACAACTCCTGGTCTGGAAATTCTAGCCCTGATGTTGATCTATTGATTGAAGCAGGTCATGATGAGGAGGGAAAAAAGGGTATTTGAATGGACAGAGCTTCAGCCTTCAAACATGGAGGCTGCTTTTTCTGCAGTCTCTAAGTTACTAAGGGGCCTCTGGTGGTCTAGTGGTTAGGGTGCAGCACTCTCACCGCTGCGACCCGGGTTCGATTCCCAGCCCCCCGGGCAGATGGAGCTCGTCAGCCCTGTAAGGCAATCCATCTAAGAGAAGGTCACTCTAAACAAACCTACATCCTGGGGACCTCACTGCCACTGTCCAAGCTTGCTCGGCCCCGGCAGATGAACCTCAGGATTAAAGGGTGGGCTCAGTTCAGCGCACGCTGTGTCTCACCTAAAAAATCCACTGCGCAGGCTCGAAGGGTTAATGACCTTTCCCAAATCTTCGCTTGCGAAGACTGGCCATTATTATTATTATTATAAGTTACTAAAGAGGCGCCACTGGAAATTGTCAGTCCTTGCTGACTCTGATCTCCACAAGTACCTCGATAGGTGGTCTTAAAGCCTGGTATTGTGAGTGCCCTCTTCCTCCTTTTTTTTTCTACATGGGAAGCCCTGGACAATTCTCAGATAGATCTGGACAATGATGTAAAATTCCTCTAGTCTCACATGCTTCTGCTTTCAGGGTGCTTTCTTGCAAAGGTAATTTCTCATGGGAAGGGAGCCATCTTTGTTGCTGTATGAATACCCCCCAAAAAGGGAAACAAAGTAGGTAGTGCTGGAAGCACACAAGCAAATTGGGCCTGAGAAAACTTAATTTCTAGCCTGTTTCAGTGGTTTTAAATGCTTGTAGCAATACAGTTGTTGAGTTTCAGAATATTTTGTGGTTGGTCACATATTTTGTTCCAATCAGTGTTAGAAATTGAGGCAGAGAAAAGCGATGTACTCAAGACCTTCAATTTGCTTAAACTGGGTAGAAGTTGGAGGCTGGGTCAGACTCGGGAACTGGGCAATTGTCCTTGTATTTCTTTGACTGACAGGATTACACAGTAACAATCTGTTCCTTGGAGGGAAGACACTCTGGTTTATCTCACTTGAAGGAAAGAAAAGAACTTAAATCATAACATGCCTTCAAACCTGCTGCTGCTCAGCTTTTTTCAATAGACTACCATGTTAATTTGGGTATCTTTGGGTACTGTATTTTCAGTATTCATAATAACAGGTAATCAAACCAGTGACTAAATTATGGGTTTGGTAATACCTGGCTTGTGAGCACTGGGTAGCAACTTCTCAGTAATAGCTGGGTGTTATGTGATGGGACATTCCTGAGGAATCAGAAGCTGCAATGAGGGTGGTGCTCTCCCTCTTCACCAAACACCTTATTCCTGTAATTCCTCCAGCTTTCTCCCTTGTACAGTCAAGTCTGGTAGGGAGAACTGCTGGTGCTCTCCTCTGGCACTTTCTGGGATTGCAGTAAAGAAGTGAGTTCGTTTATTTGGTTCCCTCATCACAGTGCTGCTGGTGTGTTAGCTCAAGGTGAGTAAATTACCAAAGAATAGTTAGTAGGTGTTTGTTCCTAGTCTCAGTTGTTAACTTTTCTCATAGATCCATTTTTAAGGTCATTGGTAGAGTGCCCAGTGGGCTTTCTGAACGTAGTCGGTCCACATGACACTGTGGATGACTCTTGTGACTCTCTTCATGAGGGGAGCTCCTGAACTGCATTGTAGGGTTTATATTTGCTGCCTCCATTTCAGGTCTTTGGCAGCTTTTTATATCTCAAGGATTAAGATAGTTGGGGATCGTTCTCCTCCAGAATTTCATCCTCTTCCTTCACCAGAGCGCTTGCTCTGTATATAGCTTGCAGCTGCAGAGTTAACAGATTAAAAGTTATCATCCACCTATGTCGAGTGGTGCTTTGGTGTCTTAATTTCTGTCCCTCGGTTGAGAGGCACTTACAGACCTTGTGAAGTGTTGTCCCTCACCTGGTGCAGGTGTGAAACAAAGCAGGCTTGAAGGTGACCCCTTCACAGAGGTCACTTGTTTGCTTTGTTTGCAAGAAACCAAGAACAGGTGGGCTGTCAGTTGCATCTTGGAAAAGTAGCCAGGTGGGAGCTCTGAGGTCTGTTTGTGGTGGTCTGATACCCTTATTTTCCATAAACCCAATTTTCCAAGGTGTCTGATATGTTCTTAATTCTTTTGCAATTGCTGCTATGACTGAAATACTGGACTGGGGTACAGCTTGTTCTTAAGGAACACTTGCAGAGCTGTGTGGGATGCAGGTGGAGCTGATCCTCTGACCAGCCTGTGCTGAGTCTGAGACTCCTGTCCGTGCCAGGCACACACTTTCTACCTTAAAGCCAAGTGAAAATCCCCGTGTGCCCCACTGGCCATCCCACAGTCTGAGCCTGTGGTGTGACCTCAACTTAAAATGCCTTTCTGACTGTTGCAGTGTCCTCAGTAACTTATTTGAAAGTCTCTGAAGCACAGGCACCCGGAACAAGGTAGAGTGGAAAGGAGAATACAGCCACATCTTGTGTGAAGGAATCTCTGCCTGCGCGTGCTCTCCTTTGCCCCTCCAGGTGAGCACTTTGTGTGGTGAGGATGGGCAAGGGGCACCAGAGAAGCAGTGAAAGGCAAACTTTGATATGGCTCCTGGGACTCCACAGGAATTTAAAAACATAGAGGGGATACCTGAAAGGGGTCAATCAGAAACATCTTCAGAGAGATCAAATATATATCCCTGTCATTCTTGT